TCCCACTTTAAAATTACATTTCTGGGGAAACCAAAACTGTAAAGTAAGTCTTAGTTTGGTGATGTGAGGCTTAGCATAAGCAACTCCATTTGGGACCTGTCGTCTTGTCTTTAGCATGTCTAAATGACAGTGTCTCTGAGGCTTTGTGGCAATAAGAACTTTTATAACCTTTTGGATGTTTGAATGAATGCAAAATTTCTTAATAACTGGTAATATGTGTTATTAGACCTACAAATATACTTTGGCCCAGTGGAGCTACTTTTAGGAATGTACCGTAAGCAAACACTTTAACAAGAGTACAGTTATGTGTGTAAGAATATTTACTGTAGCATTGTTAGAAATAGCAAAACAAAACAGCCCACAATTTATCCTGGTGATTATCTTTAAGTGGAATAGTACCCAACAATTTAAAATGTTAATTTGAATGTATGTGTTCTTTGACACAGGAAAATGGTCACAATTTTCAATTTAACAAGAAAATATGTGAATCTCTATACAGTTTAACTACATTTTTGCAAACTTTCTAACATATTTGCTTGAATGCATAGGAAAAATAGACGTATAAAGCAAAATATAAATAATGGCATACTCAGTAAAATTTTACTTTTAATTTTTACTGTTACAGTTTTTCATGTTGCTTCTTATTTTTCTACGATGAACATACATTATCTGAACAAAATTGTACAAAAAATTGTTTCAAAAAATTGAAAGCATTTTCCAAATGGTTAATTACAAGACAAATGTGAAGGGGATCATAATATTCACATGAGACGGGTTTCTCCCAAATTTCAGATGTAAATCTAGAATTGAGCAGCAATAAGCTGTGACATTTTCAAAAGCTCAGAAATATAAGCTGGTCCCCAATAAAGGACACCATCTGGCTATGGCTTTGTTTGAGGTTTTCTTTTCGATTACATTTTCTGTCATTTTTGCATAAAAATGCTTCTCTCAGTGCATTTCAAGCACATGTTTGGAAGGTTCTATGCTGGGCTGCATTCAGCCCATTTAGCGGTATTGTGCCAGCATTTAGCATGAAGCTTTAGGCGGTTAGGCAGGTGTTTTCTACTTAATACTAACAGGAAAGAGGTAATATAGAATAGGAGGTCAGGGACAGGGCAGGAAACATGATTATCATGGCCTAAGGCCTGGAACACATCCCTGGAAGCAGACAAAATGCTGTGGACATTAGGAAATGTCTTTTTTATTCTTTTTTCCCCTAGCTGATTGCTTGTGTGAATGCGCAATCAGGTATTTCAATCCTTTTCTGAAAATCTAGTTCGGCTTTTGTAAGATGGACTTAAGTTACAGTGTTTTTGCCTTATGGGTCTGAATTCATTGCTAAACTAACAATACATAAATGTGTTTCTTTTCCTTTCAGCATTTGACATTTTGCACTACTCATTAAAAGAACTGATATAATACAGAAGTCGTTCATAAAAGATAGGAGAAAATAATTTCTATCAAAATTCTATGAAGACAGTCACCCATTTTGAGTCAGGAAGGCACTTATATTACAGCGTATGAGTGCATAATGAATATATGCGGGACTTTCCACACCAAAATGCTGTCTGTGGAAGGTGTTACTTTGAAATTCAGCTGCTATAAAACTTTCTTCCACTTTTGAATTGAACAAATATGACATGCTTTCATGGAATTCACTCTAAGAATGTTAATGGTCTTTCGATATGACCATTATGTGGTTTCTAAGGCTTTTCTGTAATAATGTAATAAGGAATTGTCTCTTTACTTCCTTACCTCACATAGTCTAGCATAAATGCACAATCCATTGATCAGAAGTTGTGGAAATAACTTCCTATATTAGGATCCAGTTTAAGCTTTTACATAGGTTTCCATGATCACAGCAGCAAAGGCCTAGTATTTGCTGACAGACATTATGGTAATTAGAATCAACTGGGTCAGAGGGTACTTAATAATGTTGCTCATCTGTCAGCATCATCCTTTCTTGAAGGATGTGAAAATAATTGACTTATAAGAGAAGACTAAGGGGCGGGTTAAGGAAAATCTGGCCTACATTTAAAGAATTACTCTTTGAAAAGGAATTTTTAGGCAGCCCATTTTGCTCAGATTCATCATTATCAAAGAGTTTCTAATGACCTCCTTCAGATGGAACCAGGCATTTGTGTAGTGTGATGTTATATCTTACATTTGAAGTTGTGGCTTTGTCAATCCATAATTGGCATCAAAACGGCAGGAAAATATCTATTTCACATTGTCTAAGGGGAAGTTTATTAGAGATAGCATTTTCAGGGTATATTTGAAAGAGAAAAGCAAATAATCTTTAGCCATGTTTTATTAAGCAGAAAAAGGGTGAAATTATTGGCATTGCAGTTTACTGGTCTTATAAGAAAAGAAAAAAAGACATGGCAGAAGTGGCAAAGACACTATATTTTGTCATCAATTTTTTCTTTCTACTTACTGCCAACAACTATTTTGTAACAAAGATAATGGAAATAGAACCAGAATCTTATAAGATGCCTAACTGTAGAAGTCACAGTTTATGTCCAATAGGGAGTCCTAAAACTTTGCAGGCCTGCTGAGATATTATAAGGCTGCATCTAGGTATGGTGGAATGAAATAAGCAGGAAGGCCAACACTGGCTACAGTTTAGGTTTTTCTCTGCCTAGGCCCACACAGATGACATAATTGATTGCAAGGCAAATTTCCAGGGAGCACTAAAGTAAGATTTTCAAGAAAAGTCATTTTTTAATATCTCTTTTTATTCTTCATCTTAAACAACTCTTATGTGGTTGCTTGGACTTCTTATGAACGAGGAATAACTGACAGATATTGAGAGTTAACATTTTGGAACAGAGAAATGCAATGTCAGTTGCCCTTCTTTTCTGATTTGTTTTATTTTTTGGAGGGGGGATGTGTAAGGTTGCTGAGTGACTCAAAGTAAGAGGGTGAAGTATCAAAATACTATTCAACTTCTGGATTTCGTCTTGTTTTATAACAAATTTCTACTGAGTCTAAAAACCTTGGTTTAAAACAAGACCAATTTATTATCTCACAGTTCTGTTGGTCAGAGGTCTTGGTATGGTATGGTTGGATCTTCTGCTCAGGATTTAGCAAGGCTGACATTGAAGTGTTGGCCAAACTATGTTCCTGGAGCTCAGAATCCTCTTTCAAAATCACAGGGCTTTTGGCAGAATTTAATTCCTTGCAATTTTAGGACTGAGGTTCCCATTCTTCTTCCTGGCTGTTAGCCATGAGCTGTTCTTAGTTTCTAGAGACTACTCAGTTTCCCCAGTGTGTGGTCTTCTCTACAAAATGGCGCTTTGTGTCTCCAAGACCAGAAGAATTCTACTCATGCTTTGAATCTCTTCATTTTTAGAGATCCGACCTGATTAAGTCAGGTCCACACAGATAACGGGCTTTTGATTAAATCAAAATCAAAATATTTGCTGCTTAATTATATCTACAAAAATCCCTTTGGTTATAATATGCCCCGGCCATGCCTACACTCAATGGGAGGGGATTATATAGGGTGTATAAACTGCGGGGTGTGAATCTTGAGAGCCAAATTAGAATTCTGCCTATCATAGCATGATTTTGAAAACTCTGATATATGGAAATAAAAGGAGTATTCCATGTTCAAAGAATTTCGTATGGGAAGACCGGAGATTTAACCAGGAGTATGTATATCCAGATATTAAAGGAAATAAACAGAGAAAAGAAAGAGTTGGGGCTGCAAGTGATTTTTTTTTTTTTGACAGGTTGACAATGAGAAATGTACAACTTGAAGAAACAGAGTTTTCAGGATGGCATGTAATAAGCAAAAACAAACTGACAAACAGAGCAATATTCTAAAGAATTCTCTGTTCATTTTTCAGTAGGAAGTATCTACCTCAACTTTATCTCTCATTTTCTCTTTCCATTTGTTTAAAGTAATTTATTCACTCTATACCTCAAAAAACTATTGTATTTAAAGTTTTTGTCTTCTTGTATTTTTTATTTTAAAATATAAGAATTTTTTTGAAGAATAACTACAATGACCAGCTTTTTCTTTTTAAACACATCATCAGAAATTTATTGCATGCCATCTTATATTCACACGGAAGATAAGCATTTTCACTACTCTGTTGAAAAGATTAGATATGCATACCCTAAAATGATAATGTCCTATTTACAATTTAAATTCATACAGAGAAGATGGGAACGGAGGCAGGGGCAGGGGCTAGGAAGGAAGAAGGAATTGCCAAATTTAATACATTTCTTATTTTTTCTTGGTGTATGCTGAACAAGTTGGCATTCTCCTCATAATTATACTCTCTATATTCAACAGTAAATCATCCTGCAGTCCATTATTCTCTAGTTTAAATAATTCCAATCCAATTAAGTTTCCCTTGTAAAACCTATTGTCTAACTATTTAATAGCTTTCCTTTTTTCTCTTTAAATTTATGTTTTTCTATATGACTTTAAAACTTAGGAGTGTAGGCATTATGTATGGTATACACTATTAGGCACACAGAGGTTTTATAACACATTGATAACTATGGATTATAGGTTTTATATATATACTTCTATTTTATTGTTAATCTAAAAATGACAAGGTAGGCCTTGATAGGAATGTGACCACTTAATCTCGCTTTTTCATTTTTGAATTTCCACTGTGAATACCTAGAGGCCTATAATTGAATGCAAGTCTACTAGGAAGGTCATTTTTATCCGGTGAAAGAAATAGCTGAGCAATTGCCTTGGGATTTTTCACTGCCTTGGTCAGTTTAAGTAGTCTTTTGAGATCTTTTTAAGATATTGTATTATTTTTTATTTCACTAGACTGGATTACTTAATAACTGGATTAAGCTGGACTATTTAATAAGCATCCTTGCTTCTACACAGTAAATGATTTATGGAATGTTTTAGTGCAGATTCCAAAATTAGGAGAAGTATTTCAAGAGGGTGGCTTATATACTGAAAGAATCTGGCACCACTGAATCAAACCATTCATAAATTCATTTCTTTTTTTTTCTTTAGCCTATGCTGCATCTTTGACATTGCAAAAACTTGCATTGTTTGGTTTTGACATGGTGAGTTTTAAGTATGTTTGAATGATGGATATCAGGTTTAATTAAGATACAATACTCTAGAACAAGAGGAGAATAAAAAGCCACTTTATTAAAAAAAAGATACAATATTCTATCTACATTCAGATAAAAAGGGCAGGGAACAAAATTTGTGTTTGAGACCAAGAACAAGGCACTGCAAAATATAATTATGTATAAATTATACCAAAATCAAGAGAATAACCACTGGCTGAATGCTCATCATGGTCTGAGGAATGCAGATCTGAAAATAGTTCTGTTTTTTGGCAAGATATGCAATATCCCAATCTAAGTCAGAAAGGAAAGCCAAAAAATGGGTCTAATTGCACTTTGTATAAGCAGAGACTGACACACTAGCTTCACCTGGATTCTGAAACATGATGAATAAAATACCTTTATGAAAGGCTTAGTCAGGGACTAGCGGAGAAGCCCTGCTACAGAGTTTGAGTTTTAAAGGACAAATACATAATAGAGAGTTGAATGAAAGGATTTTAATCTGTCCAGATCTGAATTTAAGAGGCTTTTTCATGAAAGAGCCAAATTACATTGAAAATGCCTCAGTAAGCTATCTTTTATATAAAACCTCTAATCCATAATCTAAAGGTAAACCTTTATATTATATCCTTCTGAAATGGTTTTGAAGGTGATGGTCAGGTTTAAGGATAAAAAGTATTTGAGTCAAAGTAAAGTGTAATGGTTAAGGGGAAAGGCTTCCAGGGGTAGACTCCAAGAGTTTTACTTCTTCCAAATGGGAGGAAAATATATGATTGTTCTCCAAATAGCACACGAGTTGTTTCTTCCTATGTCATAATGTGAACGCAAGAAATATAAAGCATCTCTTTCAGTTCCTGCCCTATATATTTTACAACTTTTATATCTGTGAACATTAAACTCTTTCCTGGAGACGTGGATATATTTTACTTAGTCTCAGTATTTTTTTGATTTCTCAAAAATAGTGGAAACTCTGCAACAGGTCATTTATTAATGATAAATTTCAAGTACTTGGCCTTAATTTGATGTATTAGTCTCTGCATTTAACTCTTACTGATTATGTTGACAAAAGAGCTCACAGAACAATATGACTTACTTAGTAATGACCAAGATGCTGAAGAGACTACAAAATAAAATCTAAATGTCAATTATATTTGGACAATATAATGACAACTCAAGGGGCTGAACTTATGTAATATAACATGGGCAACATTTCTCTAGAAATACTAATTTTGAAATGCATTGTGTTTTCATGTTTAATCTTTCAGTTTGTACGTAGTGATTTTTCTGTTGGTATAAGGAGAACATAATACGAAATTTTAAATTTTTAAATATGATAAAATGTACTATTGTGTTCTACTATGTTATAAAATGATTCTGTAAACACAAGTTCATTAAAATATACTTCATATATGTACAGAATGCTGAAAACTCTAAAAATAGTATGTATAAGGGAATTGCTTACTTGTTAATTAAATGAGATGCAGAGAGCCATAAACTTATAATAAATAAGGGGATGGAAAATATTAGATAACCGTTTAGGGGATGTGGGGAAGAGTTAGGTATGAAGGTATTTGGCATCCTGAATTACATGAATTTTCCTAAATTGCCTTAATTTTCATAAGTGAGCTTCATTTTATAAATGTCTGAACTGCCTTTAGGTCATCAAGGCAATGGTGCCTAAATATGAACTTTGAAAGAAGAGTTTTAAAAAGCCATGTTAGCTTTTTTTTTTCAGTTTATCGTGCTTGAAGTTATATTATAAAATGTGATACTATATAATTTATATACATTATTGTAGATTATTACTGGAAGGATCAAGGTTCACAGTTCTATAAGTAAATGAATACTACATTTAAAAAGTTCTATAAGTAAATGAATACTACATTTAAAAATACATACAAGGCTCTTGGAGGACTTTGGAGTCCTAATTCTAGGACTGCAACAAGAAATATACAATGAAACTGGAGGGTTTTATAATGTTCAAAGTAAGAAAGTGGTAAAAATGAAAACTTGACAATTATGTGTTTATGTTAAAGGGATATTCAAACCAAATGAAATCACTACCAATGGCCAAAGCTGGAATGATTTGAACAACAAATAAAATGGTTTAGGATTATAATCCAAAATATAAAGTAAATATCCATGTGTCTGTACTGATACAAATAAATGATTGAACAAATAAGTAAATAAATGAGGGGTGAGCTACTACATCTCCATTATAGAAGAACTCAAAGTAATTTATATAGGTACTTCTTTCTGAAGGAGGTGTACCACAACTCCTCATTCCTTAAGTATGGACTATACATAGTAACTTCCTTCTGGAAAGTACAGTTACGGAAAGGGAGGGGGAAAAAAGTAACTGTAATCTACAGTGGAGACATCGGATAAACCATGCTGTGGCCAAGTGATTCAGGTCAATACTAACAGTGATAAATCATGGTGATACTATGTATTCTTGATATTATGGTAGAAAATGGTACTTTTTAAAAATATATTTTATTTATTTTACAGGAGAGAGGGATAGCACAAACAGGGGGAGCAACAGAGGGAGAGGGGAAAGCAAACTGCCCACTGAGCAGGGAGCCGGACGCAGGGCTCAATCCTAGGACCCTGGGATCATGACCTGGGCCGAAGGCAGATACCTAACCTCTGAGCCACCCAAATGCCCCACAAGATGGTACTGTACTATATGGCCTTAAAAAAAAAAAAAATTATTCATTTATTTGAGAGAGAGAGTTGAGGGAGGGGCAGAGGAGGCAGGGGAAAGAATCTCGAGCAGATTCTGTACTGAACTTGGAGCTCAATCATACCACTCTGAGATCATGACCGGAGTCAAAACCAAGAATCAGGTGCTTAACTGACTGAACAACCCAGGTGCCCCACTACCATAGTCTTTCTTACAAAACCTTTAATCCCAATCTAATCATGAATAAAATATCAGGCAAATGCCTATTAAGGGTAATAATAATAATAAGGATTAAAATGCCTGCCAAGTAATCCTCAAAACTGTCACAGCCATCAAAACCAAAGTCTGAGAAACTCTCACAGCCAAGAGGAGTCTAAAGAGACATGATGACTAAATTCAATGTGGTATCCTGGATGGGATCCTGGGGGGAAAAACAAACATGAGATTTATGTATCTGGTGCATTTTGAATATGATTGCATGATAGATACTAGGCTCAATTAAGATATGGTACTCTATAATTTAGGTAACAAATTAGCAAGGAGCAAAAATTAACCAACAACAGACAAAGATATTACAAAGAACATTACAATAAGATTTTCATCGTAAACATAGATGCAATAATATTTATTAAAATACTAGGATATCAAATTCAAAACCATCAAGAAAACATAATGCATTATGATCAATAAGGTTATCCCAGTAATGCAAGGTAGGTTCATTTAACATTCAAAATATTAATTACTATAATTCACCCCATCAATAGACTACAGTAGAAAATGGCATGATCATTTCAATGGAGGTAGAAGAAGCATCAGACAAATTTAAAAATTCATTCATAAAATCTCTTGGTAAAGAATGAATAATAAGCTATTTTCTCAAACTGATAAAATTTAAGAAAAACCTACAGTCAACATCATGCTAAATGCTGAAATATGGATGCTTTTTCCCTAAGATTAGACCATGGACAATCATATTAATTCTTACCAGTTATAGTTGACATTTTTACTGTAAATTTCTGCCAGGACAACAAGGTAAAGCAAGAAAAGTAGATAATAAAAACACATATAGATTAGATAAGCATGATAGATAATTTATGTAAAATATATGAAATAATCTATAAAAAAACTACTAGAACTAATGAGTTTTCTTAACATCACACAAAACGTGGTCAATATATGAAAATCAATAGTATCATTCATTATAATACTGTGTATAAGCAGTTGGAGATTGAATTAAGTGTTACTTGTAATAGTATCAATAAGTAAGAACTGTTTAGGCATAATGGTAAAAAAAGTGCAATACCAGTGTAGTGAAAACTACAAAATATTGCTAATAGAAATTAAAGAAAACAAATGAAATGGAGAAATATTTCACAGTTATGATTTGGAACACTCAATATTGATTTGAACTGATTTATAGATTTAATGTATTCCTAATTACAATGACAACAGACTAGTTTAATAAATTGACAAATTGCATTAAAAATTTGTATGAAAATGTAAAAACACATAAAATAACTAAAAATTTTTGAAAAGAATGAATTTGGAAGACTTGTAGTATCTAATCTCAATCCTGTAAAAGGCGTGAATTTTGTGTAAGAATAAACATATACAGGGGTGCCTGGGTGGCTCAGTGGGTTAAGCCTCTGCCCTTGGCTCAGGTTATGATCTCAGGGTCCTGGGATCAAGCTCCTCATTGGGCTCTCCGCTCGGCAGGGAACCTGCTTTCCCCCTCTCCGTCTGCCTTCTGTTCTGCCTACTTGTGTTCTCTCTCTCTCTCTCTGTGAAATAAATAAATACAATCTTAAAAATATATATACAGCAGTGAAACAGAATAACGTTCAGAAAAAAGCCAACATACAAGTGGTAATTGATTTTGAATAAAATGCCATGGAGATATATTAGGGAAAAGCTAGTCTTTTCAATGAATGGTGCTGTAATACTTGGGAATCCTGGGACAAAAACAGTTTTCAGCTTTTACTTCACACCATACACAAGTCACCTTGAAATGAATAAGAGATATAAATGTAAGAGATAAAACTATAAAATGTTTGAAAAAAAACCAGAAAAATATTTGTGATTTTGTTTCAGGAAAATAACTTTTAAAGGGTATGAATCATAAAAGGAACATTGATAAATTTTAGTTAATAAAATTTAAAAAAACTGTTCTAAGTCATGGTTAGAAAAATGAAAATGTAATACACAGTCTGGAAGAATATATTTGCATCACATTGGCAAATAAGTGGATTAAAATATTCCTGGCATCATTATTCATTGGGGATGCAAATTAAATCACATGGAGATA